GTCTAGTGATGACACTAGGTGGTAGCTGCTATATTCCATAAATATACTGAGTTTGAAATATGGAATACAGGATTCTAATCGACTCCTGGAATGTTTATGCTAAAGATCAGCTGATAGGCTTTTCGATTAACTCTTTTTCTCAACAGACGTCAAAATACTGAAAACCATAAATGGTTGTTAGATTCATCTTTGTCAGTATTGTCATCGATTCAGTAAAAATGTTACACCTATCAAATTCTTCTTGATTTTAAATGTTTTTTTGTCTGTAGGAAAACAATCTTGAAAGAGAAAAGACAGTTTTTTATTTATGGAACAAAATTACAGTCTGAATATTTTTTTTTGGTTTTGAAGACACGGCCTTACCTTGATCGATTGCATCACCACACCATCGTATATGAAACATATCTGACTGACATTCAGATCAGTATCTCTCTTTATCATGAATTCTAGTTTAGGTTTTTCTAATGAGACACAGTTTTATTGTTATGAACTAAATTGATGTCCGTCTTAATTTCTGGAAGCAAACCTGCCCGATGATATATTTCAATAAATATTTATTGAGCTGCAGTAACTTTAGAGGGCTATAAACCATAACAGAATAAAAATTAGCTAATTATTGCAAAATCTGAAGAAAATTCCTCTGTAGTATTCCGTCTCTATATCACACTAGCAAGACGTAGCGAATTCCCACTTCTGAAATGTCACTGGCTGGGCCAATAGGATTATCCAAAAGCCCCCGTCATAAAGATAGTTGCGATTACAGATCTATGAAAGATGTAAGAAATCTTCCAAGCAGTTCCCGTTAGACATCGTAAGCCTGCACAGATGCTTATCTAGGTGAAACAGCTAGTCACTGACTTCAAGAGTTGTGACACTTTTCTGAAACAATTGTGGTTGCAAAGAATATCTCAGGCGATTCAAGGAATTCTGGTACTGTTTCACAACTGACCTCCAAAAGAGTTAGGAGCAGTAGCTGCCAGAGCTGTAGGGGCTACCAGGCCAAGCACATGCATTCCGACAGCATTATCTATTGATTCTAACCATCACGAAGAACCTTCTACTTTAACCAGTAAAGTCATCGAGTTTCGACTCAGTAAGTCACATCACTAAGCTCTGCGAGGAGTTGTGTAATATTAGAAAGGAGATAAAGGCTAGAAGTGCATCCCACAGTCACGTATCTTGCTCTCGCAGTAAATCTCCAGAATCAGGAAAAAGGCGGTCAGATTCACAACACCTGCAATGTGGATTATACCGATACAATGGACGTACTAGTACCAGTGTTAAGAGGTGGATTCGTCTCTGCACCTTTGACACCAGTCTGTCGGGAAATGTGTATGCCGACACATGATGGCAACTAAGATTTTTCGCTAACCATCCCCATGTCACCTATTCTAAGTTACAAACCATCATACTAGAATACGCTACTTGTTTGATACCGTGGCAGAACACTACCTGATAACATGGGTAATTAAGTATATTGCATGTAGTAAAGTTGGTACAGTGGAACATATAATTATCACAATCAGTACCTCACAGATACACAAAACTTTCATTTTGAAGAAGGACTTGAAAAGAAAGTGACAAATATCGAAAAGCATCCTCACAGAATGTATAACCCGAAAGTAAAAGAATACACTAACAAAAATTACTATGTTAGGTGGCTTTGTAAACTAACTTGCATCTGTAGACGAGTTAGTTAAATAATGAATTATTTTTACTTAATAGGATCTATCCAGATGCAAGACTATACTAGTCACTCAGGCAAAGGTTATCTAGATATGCATATAATAATTTACATACATGTATGTTTTACTGAACCAGTAGCTATTATAAGATTTAAATTTCAAGGTCATCAACTGTTTTTTCATCCGATAAAATGTTTATTTAAATGTGTAAACTTGCATATATCAAGAGAAGAGTAATAATAATGCAACGATTTGATACAATAAACAACGAACAAATTACTGATATATTAAACAGAAAATATGCATATAATGAATAAGGGAAAAAAGCTGTACACTTTACAATAGTATAATTCCTAAACGCTTTTACAATAAAGCACAAATGAGCAGGGAAAAGCAAAATTCAACATTGACAATATTGACGACATTAGTAAAAGTAATCTTTCTAGCAAGTACACGTCAAGTGAAGTAAGAATAGGAGGTTGTTTGAATTGATTCCATCACTACTTTCTGAATGTACCTGTAGGTCACAAAGAAAAATAGTGTAATTACTTCTATCAATATTCAAAAAATAAAACGTATGCTAGAAAAAAGGTTTTTACAAGAAAAATGATGTCTGCAAACACTATGCGCTTGTAGAAATAAGCCTACAGCTTTCATTTTTCAACATTAACTGCTGACCTTTACTGTTTAAGTTGACTTGTTAAGCTGAAATTGCGCGATCAAGCGTCAACACCACTCGGCGTGCTATCGTGTTACGTCCGATTGTTTGTGAACGCACTCTAGCTAGCTAAGCAGACGTGACACTCTACATTCCTGATCCAGTGAAATATTTAGCATTTTGGATTTGATTTGGGTTACAAACAATTGTCTGGTCTAGATAGAACAAGTACATTCAGAGTTGGAGGGCATACAATTAATTGCATTTGAATACATAGTATCTCGCGTGCCATCGGCATGCTTCATCTTTCAGACGTTCAATAAATACTGTCATTATGGGCCATACTGAGAGTATCTTAAAGGCCTTATCTTAGAGAGGAAAACGCCAGTGAACAATCAGTAGGTTCAATAAAATTATTGTTTCAGTATTCAGAAAACACACCCTAACTTTTAATTATTTAGAGTAACGTCTTTGAAAATGATCACCATTTAATTTAAGAGGACGACATCGTTGATGTACATAGAGGTAAGCCTTTAGCAAATGATCTAAAAGGGTACAGTATTTAGATTACAAAAACTAGTCTTGGTCAATAAAATTGCTTTGGAACAACGTTAAATTAATGTCAGTAAAACAACGTTAAACTACATAAAAAGGTGTATTGTTTCATGCTGCGATACTCTTCAGTAGTATAGCAATACAAAATCAACAAATAAAAAAACATCATCAGAAACTGAACATAGAACATGAGTTACGGAGGACAATTTAAAGAAAGTAGTTCAGTTAATTGGTGGATGGTGACTAGCAATGGAATCCAGGATGCGCATGCGGTCCTATTTGGGACTCGTCCTCTAGATGTGCCTGCATTCCGTAGTGAGTGACGATGAATTAAAGTAGTACAGTACTTAAGTGAAGATATCTGCACTATTATCATTAGCTTTCAAGAATACTATCTCCAGTCGTGGGCATCTAATTATAGATAATTTTTTAAATATTTTTTTATCCTTCGCGTTCCCCAGTGGAACATAGGGCTTCAAGCTAGTGGCTTGAAGTTTCTGTAGCAGTGTTTATTTTACAGGATGGGATTGCTTATCTCATGCACAACCTTTCCTATTCACCAGCATTATTTCTGGCTTAGTGAGGTGAAGGAGTGCGTCAGCCGGGGATCGAACCCCGCACCATGTGCATGGTCGGAGAGCACCCTACCTCTGTGCCACCGACGCACATTTATAGATAATTAAAAGAATTCAATCAGGCAGTTTATATTTCTGCCATTGAATTAGACAGTAAATGATTTCAAAAACAAACCGATAATGAATCTTCACATAAATACTGTCACCTATAATTCCAATCTAATTCTGGTGAAAGCAGCACTAACTATTGAAGTAACTAGTGGACAGAAAGAAAAATAATTTACTGGCAACATTCTTAACATAATTTACAGTTTATAATCAGAATAATTTTACATACTGTCCACATTTTTGTGTTATTATTTATTCTGTGACTAACTGACTGACTACGTTTCAACGTACAACTTTGTACAGAAGTGCACCAGTTCAAGTTGTCACACACAATGTAGCAAACCAAGTTAGAGAGAAGAGATAAAAAGATATCTAAAGGAACTATAATAAAGCAGAAATATGATGGAGAAAGAATAGTAACTTAAAAACACAAAACAGTTTAGTGTATATGGAGAATCACAATTAGTAAATGCATCTGGGCCACTAAGACGATTTTGAGCCATATTGTTGTGGTGTGATACACACAATGGGTTCCAATGGAATATTATTCTCACAGTAAGAATCATTGTATTTGTTGGCGTTAACGTCTGAATTCTATTCCCATAGTTCAATGGTACATTAGCAACAGAACTGAATAATTTTTTGATTGAACACTAGGCAGTAACTAGTGTAATGTGTCTAGTCCTATCTTCGGTGCAGACTGAATTCTGTCAGTCATGTTTGCAATGTGGCCGCCATGCTAGGTGGCTCGCCATTACGGTGCACTGTGAATTGTTGGTATTAAATGGTTGGAGGCAATCGGCAGGAAGCCTTGGACCTAGGTTTCGTGCTAGTTGGCACTCTTCAGCAAGGCGTACCTGCAACCTAGAAGGAACTCATGTCCCTTCTGAGATTCGAACCCGCATCACCCAGTGCTGCAGTCAGAGACGTTACCACTTAGCTATTCAGGCTCACGACTGACCTCCTGTAGGACTGTATTGGATATTTTTGATTGAACTGAATAATATGTGCATCTGAACATTCTATTCCATTTCGTTTGATGTAAACCACACTCACATGTTCAGTGGTTGGTTAAAGAATATAAACCGTATAGATATAAATAGCTTTTTGATCACTTGAAAGTATGCCTTGACTTCTGTGTCTTGCCTTCTGCTGTTACAATATCACCACTGGTTTCCAGGTATTGGATCTTAGCATCATTAGGACTCCGATCTTGCAGTCTGCACCTCTCTATGTGGCTTAAACTAACTGTCACAGAGTTTATGAACTGACAGCAGGTTTCGGTTTGACCATCCCTAATTATTCTACACTCTTGTAAGTATGTTAATCGGGCACAAATATTAAGTGAAGGATTAAAATTAATCCAGTATACTTTCAATTTCGTTGAACTTAACTTTATGCGTACCTTTTTACTTTCATTTATCGTTGATGATTTCTTTCTATTTGTGCTTTAAATGCACTACATTGCTCTTCAAGTTGATTAGCCAACTCCTGTGCTTCTTTTCGCCACTGCAATGATAACTAAATAAAATGACAGATAAAAATGTATCAAAAGAGTTAAACGATATATATAGTTGTAAATCACATATTAATATAGGACGGTTAGAAAGTACTCATATCGAACAGTAATGATTGTTGGTCATTTCGAAGTGATCTAAACACTGGAGAGTAATTTTAATGGTTTGTACCACAACTCATGTGTGGCTTACCTGGTTAAACTCAACTCACATATCTGAACCTGTTCAAACCATCAGTGTTTATGGCTAACCACTTCGATGAATTTAATCCGCATTATCGAATAACATAATTCAAGGGGGAAAATCCTTTATGGTTCCCGCTAAAAATCGTCTCTATATGAATAAATATATGCGACAGATTGAAACAAGTTAAAAAAATATAATAAAATACAGATCGTATAGTGATCTGATCAATAATCTGTAATCTTGAAATAGGTCTGCAACACACCTAAAAGCAAAGTAAACTAACCAGTTATTTTAATTTTAAGATTTTATCGAAGGAGTAAGAATATACCCTTGTGATAGGGAAGAAAACAACAAATATAACAAACTTACTTTTTGCTGTTTATCTAATAAATTGCGCCATTTTTCATCACTGATTTGATTAACTTTTTCAAGTGTTTCAATTTTCAAGTTTAGTTCAGTTTCTTTTACTTTCATCGATTGTTTAGCTAATTCAATTTGATGTTGAACACTTTTTTGTACAGATTCAAGTTGTCGTTTCAAGGTATTGAGTTGAATTTCTGAATCCAATAAAGCTTTATTTTGTTTGAAATAATGGTTTTCATTTTGTTTAAATTGTGTTTCAGCATGTTCTAAGCGTTCCTCAAGTGATTTAATCTTCAAAATCAAAGTGTTTAGACATAAACGTTTAAAACAAGGTCTTTTGGAGATACTGAGGGTTTTAGTAAAAAGGAAAATGTTGGCAGATGGAGGAATGTTTGTTATAACCCACCCCGTTGAAAGTACTCACGACCGCCGACAGTTTCCAGAAACTTCATACATTTATTTCGCTTTATGAATTTGAATAAAGCAAGAACAGCAGTTTGTGCAGAATAAAATAGTACCATCATTTATTCCGTTGGCTTCGCTTCAGCTGCTTACAGCCCAAAGATATTCTTAATTTTATGTACAGAAACAATTTTAACATACACACAGAGGTCATTTTTAAACAAAAAATCAATATATGCTTACTATGCTCATAGTAACAATGATAATCACTTTTTGGTACACTTTCCCATCTACTGGACAATATGCTCTTTGGTACACTCAAAAGTCAAGAGATACCCTTCTCGTGTTAATTCCAACTGTGTATACAAATTTACATGCATCTGCGAGAGCAGTTACGTTGGGAGAACAGAAAGAAGTGCCTACCTCCGATTCTCCGAACAAGTACCAAAAAACCTGCGTCTGAAGTAAACAAATACTATTCGCAGTGCCATTGCCAGGTACCTCCTTGAAACTGCTCATGATCTGGATGTCACAAGATCGTTCAAAATTGTCAATAGGCAAAATAGATTAATTGCCCTCAAGTTGTTCGAAGCAGTCTCCATCAAGCGCCTGATACCCGATTTATGCATTCAGAAAGAAGTGGTTATCAGTTTTTCCTTGCCCCGGTAATTGGATGTTTCCATGCTCTCTTTCATTTGATTAGGTAACGCAAAAAATTTCCATTGTGTACGATTAGTATTGTTTGGGATAAAGTGATTAATATTGTTACTATTACCATTATATGCATATATTGATTTTTTGTTTAAAAATGAACTCTGAGTGTCAGTATGTTAAAATTGTTTCTATACATAAACTTAATCATATCTTTGGGCTGTAAGCAGCTGAAGCGAAGCCAACGGAATAAATGATGGTACTATTATATTCTGCGGTGCGTCGGTGGCATAACGGTTAAAACGCTTGCCAACCATGCACGTGGTCCGGGGTTTGATCCCCGGCCGACGCACTCCTTTACCTCGCTAAGCCAGAAATTACGCTGGTGAAGAGGAAAGATTAGGCATGAGGCTAGCAACCCTATCCTGTAAAAATAAACACTGCTACAGAAACTTGAAGCCACTAGCTTGAAGCCCTATGTTCCACTGGGGAACGAGAAGGTAAAAAACATTATATTCTGCACAAACTGTCGTTCTTACTTTATTCAAATTTCCAGAAAATTAACCTCGTATATAATTTATCATACACCTTGTCTAACAGAATATTTAAAAACGGGAAGGTTTCATGTGGGTACATTTTCCTTTGATTAGGGATTTTCCCTATCTGAGCTAATCATGACTTGTTGAACTCTTGTTAGTTATATGTTAAACATCTGAATTCAGTTACTGTTACTGATGCTTTCAACCTAGAGTGATAACGAAACTCAAATCTCACTATACACCAAATGTCAGTTTGTGTAGTAGGGTGGTTATCTGGTTACCTGTCAGAACTTATTTGACTTGAGAAATTGATTAGTTAAAACATACACGATATTGAATATTCAGGCTGCATGTAGTAAATTCAGCCATTACTGATTGCTATCCAAAGACTGACGCTATCCTTTGGCCTATACACAAAATATTTGACAGTAAATTAAAACAAAATATATTGCTATGTTACTGTGTAAAAACAAAGAAGATGTAGACATTTTTAAAGCTTAAAAAAGCCACCCAGCTAAAATAGATAGTTGTACAGCTTATCATACGGGTTTTTCACTTCAAATTACCACTGTTTGAAGAAGCGTACAAGATAAAGAACATAAACTGCATGACTTAAGTGTTAGGGGAAGGATAAGTGAAGACATTCAGAGCCTACAAGATGATAACCACTGAATAAGTGAGTGTCATTGTGAACGACTTTGAGCCATCTCTATAAGTTTCCAGCTGTAATTCTTAACACCTGAGGGCTCTAGCTAGGCATGAACACTTCTCTGGGTTGAAAAAGAAGTCAGTGGCAAAGACGTTATTCTTAAGGGTAATGGAAGATTTGCATTAAAACATTCATTTGAATTACAAATCTTCTCCATCACTTCACCCCAGTAACCGACATCCACATTGCATGGTAACATGTTTTGGTCTGACCACCTCTAACTAATTCCTTACTCTCTCATACTACAAGTGACATTGTTTATTGAGGAAGGCAATGACTTACTATGTGCATTCTATGTCTATGAAATTTCACAGTTTTATCAAATGACCTAAAGTCCCCACCTAATATTAGGTCTAGACTCCACTATAGTGTTTAAATCAGCAGCCAAGGTTGGACGAAACCAACAATGGTCAAATATCTGTTATGCATTCATCTATGATTTCAGATGACATGTTTAGCAGCTGTAAATTACGACTCAGTGAGCTACTGAGCAGTACAAACTCTTTGATAGTCAGCATTATGTCACTGTTTTTAAACGCTCAAAAAGATGGAAAAAAACAATGGAATAACTGTTGCATTTCTTGATAGCTATATATCTTCAATTCATTTGGTGGATGGTGATTAGCAGTGGAATCCAGGATACACATTTTGTCCTATTTTGGACTCGACAGCTGGATGTACCTACATTCCCCATTGAGTGATGGTGTTTCCACAGAAACTCGGACCCAGTACCCATCGTTTCAAACGCCAAAACGACAGCCACTAGACCACTTGGACCATGAGAGACACTTCTTGTGCAGTAGGTATCGGTTAGTATTTAATTCCAGTTTGAAGTTTCTCGCCGAATGAGTGGACTGAAATGTTTGGCTTCAGCGGAAACAGCATCACCCAGTGGGGAATGCAGGTGTTTCTACCTGACGAATCCAAAACAGGACGAAATTTTAATCCTGGATTCCAGTACTAGTCACCATCCACCAAGTTATTTCAAGTCAATCATCAGACACCATCGAAGCGTTTGCATAAGGAGCCGAAATATCAACAGAGACCAAACACTTCGGTCCAATCAATCGACGGGTAAGTCAACAATGAATTAAATAATTTACATCCTTTTAAGCTTTAAGTCACTAAGTGAAAAATATGTTCATGCTGCTACATTTCAAGGTATAAGAGAATAATGAAAATCAGCATCATCTAGAGAATCTGATATTGTATTAAATCTAATTCATGATTTGCAATTTATACAATTTGAGGTAAAATTTTATCACATTTCCCTTTGAGAACAAAAATAATTCTGACCAAAATATGTGATCTGTTTGAAGTCGTCGGTGGCACGGCAGTTAGGACGCTCGCCAACCATGCACATGGTTTGGGGTTCGACCCCCCCCCAACCGATGCACACTCGATATCAGTGGTCGGCCTGAAAAATTTGGGCTACCAATATCACATGCTGAAAATGTCATACTTGTATCAAAAATACTATATGGAGTCAAGTTATAATAAAATTTTAAAAATTTAAAAACAATTCATTTGAAACGAAGGAGGCAGCATCATGCCACAAACTACTGATTGATTAATTTTGAGTAGTTCTATGCCACTCACATAACCCGATAGTACTTTCTTACCAGATCGAGGTGATCTAAGCGCCGGATGGTCATTTCACTCTTTTGAGGCTGAACTCATCAACGATGTACGCGATTCGACTTAGCTAAACAGCCAAATTAGTTCAGGCCACCCGATACTTTTGTTGTTCTTTGATATATAATTTCTACTCAGACTTATTGACATTTAGACAGTTTTTCTAAAAAAACTTCAATTTTCATACTCCTCATGAATGTTATACAAATAACTGCTATCCCGCTAGATGATATCATGAATTGCTAACTAATAATAAATTTACCACTGATATTTACATTAGAAGAAATAGGATTACTACTACTGGAAATCTGTTGAAATACTGAAATTACCCCTCAATGAATGTACGTAAAGAATAAGTTAAGCTCACTTTCTTGTCACAGCACATTTAAAATGGTGGCCTTATTATAGTTGAAAGCATTAATTGCAAATTATCTATAAAACGTTAGGTTAGGACAGAAACTTCGGCTTGATCTATGGATATTTACCATCACAATTTAAGACAACAACCTACAGAAATATGGATAATCAGGAGGAAAAACAAATGCAAGATGACAATATATTTGAGATTTCATAGCATCTGCAGTCACAGTATTTTGATATCCAGTCAATACAATCAACGATCATAAGTTAAGAAACTAGCATTCTGCAACGACATAGAAATATCTCTTCGGTATATATACTTAAATGCTCTCAGCATAAGGAACGAAATTAGGATTTTCAACACCAATGGGAAGTCAGCTAACGCTTCTATGTGGGTCTGCCACCTTCTCTGGCTCCATATTGAAGATTAGATGGCCAGCCAGAAGGAATGATCAACAAGAAACTCCGGGAACGAACCAATCAAGAACCTATTGATCAACAAATATTTGAAGGAAATGGAGATAAATCGGACACAGGCAGAAGAGGTTATTTAGTGACATCACGTGCCATGGCCTCGCGTGGAATTCAAAAGTGAAGTAACGAGTTGGACTAGGGTTCAAAGGTGGCATGTAGAAGATCGTGCGAGGAGGAGATGGGAGACTATGGACAATCGTGGGTCCAGCTAAAGACAGCAGCAGAAAATAGAACAAACAAGGAGATGTGTTGTTGAAGCCTTACGTTCCACTCGGAACCCAAGGGGGCAATAATAATAATAATATACAGTTAAACATAATTGCTTATGAACAAATATGTTATTAAATGAAAGTTACCTTTTGATTCAGTTGTTCAATTTCAGCTTGTTTAGATGCAATCAGTCGTTCTTTACAGTTGCGTTCTGTTTCCAATTGTAATTTTAATTCGTCACATAATTTCTCAGCTTGAATAGCACGTCTCCTAGCAGAATCTAATTGAGAGTCACCTAGTTTTGATTCTTTATAATTATGATTATTAGTATTAATTCATACAGTATACAGACCTACCTCGACTACTTATACCATCGGTAGGATTATTAACACTATTTGATTTTAAACACTCCAACTCAACAGCTAACTGACAACGTTCCTAAGCATTAAAAAGATGAAAAAAAGTGACAGTTTATCTATAGGAGTATAAAACAAGCATGACATTTGTGGAGTCCTCAAAAAAATAAACTTATCCAAATTTTACTACTATGTAAGAAATGAACATATTGTACACTACTTTGTTTTAACCATAAACTCTGTACTTTGAATTTTACCTCTAGTTTTGAATGAATATATAATTCTGCCTTCGACTCTCCGTCTTCTCCACCATCTCAACTGCCGTCGAACAATTTTAACCACCTGCTTTCTATCTCGAATTTTTGCAGGAGCACCATAGTTTCTTCCTACGTACTTTGGTCGACCTCCGGCAACGTCAACATTGGAGAATTAGTACTGGAGCAGTCTTCCCGCAGCACCTGGAGTCTATTACGTTTATTGTGGACTTTGGATCTTTGTAAACCTAAGTAACGAAACTTTAATATATTCTTCCCGTAACTAAACCGATTTGGTATTTTATTTCCTATTTGAATTTGGGTAACTAAGCTAACAGAGTAAAAGGTCCACCACACATTTCTCGGATTATGCATACAGTTCGATAAGTGATTCCATACTTGTAAATACAAGAATGCGGGCTTTTGAGAATGGAATTTTAGCAGTCTGAAAAATACTTTACCTTATGATTTTCTTTCTGTGTTGGATACTAATCACACATCACCACTCCCTTAAACCTTTCTGAGATTGCAGGATTTCATCATGAGCTGTCATTGGTTAGATAACCATTGGAAAACTAGCTGGGAGTACTGGACAGCTGCTTCGTCCTGGTTTGAGGGTCTTCATCAGTACGCACCCACTGGGGTTCGAACCCAGGGTCTTCAGCTTACAAGTTGAGCTCGTAGAACATTAAGCCACTGGGAGCTAATACAATGGCCCATGAATCCCCACTTTTGCCAACTCACGATGTAGCTCAACCACTAGCCACTGTCATCAGCGAATATTTGTCCTCACATCTGACCCGCTGTACTTTCTGAAATTGTCAAGTTTATGTAACTAAATCTATAAAATGGCGAAGAAAGCCTACTTAGTAATTATAAAGGTCGGAGAGTTCATGTACTGTCAATGGATTATGAATGATCTATAAAATAGTTAATAATAGTGCCATGCTTCTCAGAAGTAAGATCACAAAGTAATTTTTAACCGGTAACCTGGATAGTCTCAATCTTTTCGCTCTACAAGAATTCCAACCTACTGAACAAGGTATGTTCTCATTGGTCAAAAAGAAACAAACTTCATTGTCTATAGGGTCTCCCCGTAATAACATAAATAAAATGGTTGGTTAGCGGTAAATACTGCATCATTTGCTAGCGTTATCATTTAGAAAACTATGGATAAGAAAAAATTATATTACATGAAGTAATATGAAATTCTTAATTCCTTAACTATGTATGTTATATGTATTCACTGACTTATAACCTTTCTGAAGGGTTGGTGAATATACTGACTAACTTATCGCAGTAAGACTTTGCACAAAGTGCAGCATTTCAAATTGTAACACTTCAGAAAAGTGTGTTTAAAAGCTAAGGAAGGAAATGTAATGGTGTTATAATGGACGGAAATGTACATGACAGAGAACAATTCCATGAAGATTAGCAAAGAGATTTATAACCCTTTGTGATAAGTGGACAGATCTGCCCTAAGGAGAGCAATACTGAACCATGTTACCAAATGAGTTCCTAACCATTGATTCTCGGCATCTCAGCAACTCTAGCCGATCAGTAAATACCTTCCAAATTGACTGAAACCAGCAGTCGAAGAGTTTATGGACTGATTCAATGTTTTCTTTTGATTACTGATAACTCTTTGGCAGCCTAAGCTACTTCGGTTGACATTGCTTGTCGTGGAAGATGGTGGCTCACTCAGTACGCGTAAGAAATGTCTTGTCCACCTTCACCTATCACCTGCATACTCTAAATGACTGTAACTGAAATAAAAACCTAATTTCCAACATGACTACAGTTAAAGATTTCCTAAGTACTTAATTAGAAGAATTTAACTTTACTTCTACCCCTTCAGTTACCTTTTATCTATGCTTCATCGTCGATAATATTTAATTAATATTATGCTTAGGATTATAAACTCTATTCATAAAAATTAGTATTAAATCATTTACAGAAATTATAACTTTTAAATTTACTTTTTCCATATGATGCAATTCATGCAATAACTTTTCAATATTCTCATTTGCTTTAACTCGTACTTTATCAACCTCTTCACGTGTACGCTGACCAGAATCTTCAATTAATTTGTCAATCACAAGTCTTAACTGTTCAAGTTCACTTTCAGCGACTTCTTTACATTCTATAGCTTCATCACGCTCCTTGGTTAATTTTTCACCGAAGGATATTAATTCAGCCACCTATAGTGAGTAAAATATAAATATATAATTAATGATCTTGATATATATATCTTCGAAACCTGTGATATCTGTTCTATATATTCATTCTACAGAACCCATAATCTAAATGTCAATCTGCAGCTAATTGGTAAATACTGGATGGATGTCCTGAAGTTGTAATGGGAAGTCTTGGCTAGTGGGGTTTATCAAGACGAAGTGAATGCCCATCGATGACATTGATTGACGGTAGCATTATATCGCGAAATGACGAAGTTAGAATTCATTGGTCACAGAATTCTGGCCCAAATGGATGAATAACCGACGGATCTGGTCTCGTAATCTGAAGGTTCTGAGTTCGCTTTGCAGTAAGGCTATGGGCGCGCACTTCTAAAGAGTCTCAAACTAAGGCAAAATGTATATCCAGTCTCTCTGGTCTTCAGTGATTCTCTAGCTGACTTAATTTCTTGATGAAATTTACAATGAAATTAATTCAGATGTCTACAAAACCCACGATCTTAATATACTATAAATGACATTAGATTGTATTCCGGTTATCTCAAATATATGTGAGCATAGGGATTTTTATGTATTCTGCTACTGCCAGCTATCGATAGTTGCACAATCTTGAGACTATTAGGACTTATATATTGCAATAAATATGGATATTTGCATCAAACTATATCAATGAAATACTGTAGGCATATGAATACATGCATGCTTTCTTTTTATCTAAGATAATATTATTTGATGATATTGGATGGTTGGAGGCAATCGTCAGGAAACCTTGGACCTAGGTTTAGTGCTAGTTGGCACTCGTCGGCAAGGCTTATCTTCAACCTTGAAGGAATTCATGTCCCTTCTGAGAAACCTAGGTCCAAGGCTTCCTTCCGATTGCCCCCAACCATCTAATATCATCAAATCAATATGCACAGTGATGGCGAGCCACCTTGCAAACCTGTCTATCTATTTTTGACATAGAACTTTGCACATATGTGCGGCAGTTAAAGTCGCCACACTTTACTCAGCACACAAAGCGAGAGAAGAAAGTAGAAGAAATGCATATTAGAGACAGTAAACAGAGGTGTGAGACAATGGTATAGTAATAACGAAGAACAAAACAGTTTCATTAGAAAACATGAGTCACAAGGAGTGGATGCATCTGCGCTACTGAGAACGATTTTGAGCCATGTTACCAATTGTTTCCAACAATTGGTTTTTATCGTCCCGGGGACCCCAACCAGGAAGTCTACACCTTCCTACGTGGCTTAGACTAACTTTTGTAGATTTCATTGACTGCTGCCATGTTTTCCTTTGACCGCCGCTAGCTCTTTTCCAGCCTGACCCTATATCAGCTAACATTGCCCGTCGTCGAGGAAGGCGATGACTAGGCATACGTAACACATGTCCTAACCATCTCAGTCGATGTAGCTTCACAACCTTGTCGATTTATTTCCCCTCCTTACCTAGCACTCGACGCCTAACCTCAATATTGCTCACCTTATTATACCACTTCACGCGGGAGATAGAACGCAGACACCTATGATCAAAGACAGCTAATCTTTTCATGTCTTCCACTCTCAATGGCCAGGTCTCACAGCCATAAAGGAGGACGGGGCGGACTGATGAGCAGTACACACGCCCTTTGGTCGATAGTCGGATATCACGTCTACGCCAGAGACGGCGTAAACTGGCATATGCAAAACCTAGCCCTCTGTATCCGTGCTGAGATTTCGTCAGAGATCAACCCGTTGGGGCTGATGGTACTTCCCAAGTAAGTGAAGCGGTCAACGTGCTCTACCACTTCACTTCCTATTTCTAATCTAGGGGTCGGTGTAGTCCAATCCTGTAACATCACCTTGCATTTGGCGAGAGCGAATCGCATGCCAAACATTCGAAGGTTGCAGCTCAAGGTGTTCAGAAGACTCTGCATTTTGTCAGCAAACCTGACTGATAGAATTCAGTCTGCACCGAAGATAAAGGATTAAACACATCGCACTAGTTACTAGTGCCCAATCAGAGTATAATGTTATTTATCAGTATACATTACCAAAAAAAATAATTATCAAGTGTAACAGCAGAACACAATAGTATTTGGTAGCAGGATGGTATATTTGTCGAAATAATTACAACAAAATACAAAAACCTTATACGGTACTTTCAGTTTGAAAATTTTTTTATATTCCACTCTTTTAGTCTTCATTTCTCGCTTCCTAAATTGTTTTAAAACGATCTTTACTTCTACTCTTTGTAGCTTAATCACTTGCTGAGGCTATGTAAGATTTTTGGAGAAAACAGCGCATACACAGTATACTGCTCACAGATTCTTGTCAGTAGCACATCCTATAAAAATTCTAGTTGACTTCATATTAATGAAAGCAACTTCTTAAAAAGTTATGATTTAAGTTTCTCACAAATATAAATTGTGAACAAGACTAAGAATATTATTGTTTTAAATACAGAACTATAAATGATCTACTTTTTGAGTGTACAGGTAGCAAGTAGGATATTAAAAGAGTTTATTGATCATAACGCTCAATAACTCAAACATTCAAAAGTACCAACGTGAGGCTTCGTAAACAAATGTATCACTTTAGGCTACCGAATTTCCAAATACAATGGGAGGAATGGCTTTATTGCATATCCCCGCTAATTGTAGCATTGTAGTCTTTTGCTATGATAATTTAATGACAAGTTATATTACTCATATGCTTTTTCAAATGAAATTTTACAGTAAAAATGTTTTTCTGACGTAAATATTATCGATAGCATTATATTCTTGATCTGCGGTACATTTACTACACTTTTGCAATTAACAGTGTTTTCTGAGCTGGTCGGTTTTGTTGCGAAGCTTTCGTCATCCTTCTGGACAACATCTTCAGCGCCATGTTTAGCATAAAGCTCCGCAACTAAACCAACTAGCTCAGAGAACACTACCAATTGTAAATCATCCACCTGAGCTACAAATCTTCTCTATTACTACACTCTTATCAAAAAGATGCCGCTTGATACCGATATCTGCACAATGTAATGGATTAAAAGAAGCAGAAAGTTTAAAAGTTAAATGTATGCTTTCGGAAATTTTTATGATTAAGCCATACAATCTCAAAAAAAAGAATGCAAACAGGAGATAAGTGCTATTAATAAACAGTATCAAGACAATGGAGGATATCACAGCCAAATTAAGATTACAAGAAAGTTTCGGAACTTCGAATCTTATAAATAATGAGTGAATCTGAGTCTCATTGAGTCACTAATACCTTATTTTGTCAAACTCTCACGATTTGCTTCTGGATATTTTGACAATCTTAATTTGCATCTGTTTATAGAACTAAAACCAAAGATTTGAACGAGTCGGTGTGTTAAAATGATCGCTCTTAGTTGTACTATAATCCGATTTAACGGTCCTTTCGATTCAGTTTGCAGGTGAATTTTGGGAATTTTTAATAAACCTAAACATAATCAACAATTCTACTGGTCAGGCATAGAATTTAGTAAACTGTCATTTCCTATTCATATATAAGAGTCTGTTCGTTAAAGTTCACTTAATGATTACATTTTAAGGAAACGATAGAGGAAATGAGGAACTTCTGTCAGTATGATAAACGTCGACATTATGCTTCATATTTTCATATTTTTGATCTTTCCACTTACCTTATGTAATGCATCTTCAATTAACTGGTGTGATCCGTTATACTGTTGCTGAAGTATGGCATGTTTATGCTCCAATTCGGTGAGTGATTTGACAGCATTTTCTCCACGCGTACAAATTTCAGCTATTTCAGTCTATGAGGGAAATGAAATTTTATCATTCACGGAACTATCTTTTTAATTAAAAAAAAAACAATAATCAGTGGGTTAACTGTTAGGCCAAAAAAACAAGTTATTGGTTGATTTTAAGTTCCCCGACAGGGGAAGGTCCCATTTATCTAGGATATCAACACGCGTAGACCATCCACATATTCAGTGATCAGTTTTGTTCACCATCTATCTGTGATATGCAGTGTATGACGCATCTTTCATTCCATTAAGGATCTAACTCAGAACCTTGAGATTGCGAGGAGAGCCCATTGAACTCTCAGACACTGAAATAGAATCCACTAGCCTATGGACTCTAACTTCTGTCATTTTGTCATATATAGCGAAATCACCAGTCAATGTCATCAGCAAGTATTTGTCCTCCCATTCAACTGATCAAGACTTCTTACTAGAACTCCGTGCAACTTCATCTTGGCATAACAGGTGCATACTTTGGAGGAGTCTCAAACAATGACGAAACAGATGTCTAACACTCCTTAGTTTCTAGTGGTTCTCTAAGTGAAGTTAATTCGTAATCTGGTTTGAAGCCTTCGATTTCCTTAGTTCTTTAGTTAGGTTAGTGGGAAAAAACTTTTCTGATAACCGATAACTTCTAAGAAATCGACTAAGTGAATACTCTGTCAAAATAAGCTGACTTAGAAACTGTGAAGAGTAGCATCATTAGTTTACAAACTAATGTATGAGAATACGATACGGTTATTGCATAAGATGTATCTCTCCTTTAGAATATTTCACTTCAATTATTTCTAATAAAAAATCACATACATGTCCATAAAAAACAGTGGCAGAATGATCAAATCTCCTTGTCAGAAGTCAAAATTTATAGAAATATTTATTACCGTCAAAAATTAATTACCTTAAATTCATTCATTATTTCTTGTAAACTGCTAGAACCAATAACTTGTAAATCGCATTTATATTTATCAGGCCTGCTTTCTGTTATAATTTTTTGACCATCAGAAGATGATAACAAGCTGTGAACAAAGATTTATAAAAGGCATTTTAATCGGATCGAAGCCAGCTGGATAAGGACTATATGCATTAGTCAACAAAATCTTTATGCTAAATTTACTCAAACTAGAAATAGATAGCATTGAGTACTTATATAAATAGAATTACTCCAAAATTCCTCACACAAGTCTGCTCCGAACTTCGTCACAGAAACAATTAAAATAAGAGTATTAAAAGACTATGCGCAAGGTCAAAATGACTTGTAGTCAATCAGTCGTCCTGACCTATCACGGATGCTTGATAAAATACAAATAGGAATATGTGATAGTCGGCGTTGTTAATTTTAAGCGAGCAGTTATATTTCTTCTTCATGGTAATACCACATGAATAGGAAATTATTGTGATGATTAACTTGCTTCTAAATACAATTCCTTAAAAAGTGTATGCGCTATGGTAGCAATCAACTCATGTAAAATATATCTGTAATAAATATTTATGCACAATTATACGAAATGATAAATTGTAACTCGGTTCTAAAAATGATTGAAATTGTAGTTTAACATTCAATGTCAGCAATTATTATAAAAATACTTTTTATAAATCCTTATGTTGTGGATTAATCTTATACTAATGAGGCTTCATTATTTATGATTTCTTGAGATTGCAACGGCAATCTTGTATAGGTGCATTATGGAACCTTGAATGTTAGTGTATTATTATTCCCTTGGGTTCCGATTGGAAAATATGACTTCAGCAGGACACTTCCGTTTCACCATGTTCTCCGCAGCCTTTTTTAAGCTGGCCGCATGACTGCCGATAAACTTTCATCTCCTTCCTCATTGCTGTCTCCCACATAACACCGTCATACCCTCACTAAACTCGTCATCCTCTATTCAGGCTACACTCGAGCGACTGCCCGTTGTATGATGTCCCTGAGCGGTCCCCTCAGCATATGTTCTATCCATCTTCACTTTCTTCGGCGTATCTGTTGGGTGTTAGGTTCTTGGTTGACTTGTTCCCAGAATTCCTTGTCGCTTACCCTTCCCGGGTGGCCATCTAACCTTCACTATCGATCGATAGCAGCTGTTGATAGAAGCCTATAGAAGACTGTTGGAAATACTTTTTATGATGAACACTAGTGTATATTAGTTAATTTTATTCTGCACAATATTTATCTATCAATGAATTCTTTGAATCAAGGAGATGCAAAGTAATTTCTGGGCGGAAACATAAAAATATTAAAGTGATTTGGGTCTAATAAGAGCAGAAACTAAGAACATACGTGTTGATTGGGAAGGCTTAAATGCATCATTTCACTTTATCTTAGATTTGTTTCTCTTCAGACGCCATTTAGTGTTAAATTTAGTCTATGTAGCTGTATTAAAAACATTCTGAAGAGGACAACCAACTTTGGCCACCCATTATATGAATGAGTGTAGGCTGGACAAAGGTTTATTTCTATAGCCTTACACAAGTGTATTTAGTAGTACCTCGGTTGCTGATCTCACATCTATGAGTAAAACATAATAAAACAGAAGACTTCATAGATTGCGTTTATTAGTGAGTGAAGCTCCTTACATATGTCGATTGGTACTGTCTTCATTTTGAAACCATCACAAATTCAGTCAACCGTATTTTAGAATACCACCAGGAAACTAAAGTCATCATTTAATGTTGACACAGGAAAAGTTGATGGTACCAAACTTCAAATAACAAAAAGAAACATACTCACTATGGAAGCAGTCTAACAAAACCTCTATATTTAACATCTGTATATATCACATATATGCAGTTTCACTGGTTTTCTTGCAAAACACTGGCACCGATACTCTTTGAGGGAACCAGATAGACATTTCACTGGTCACACGTGTATATAAAGCGAACAAAAGGTATTTTTATGCTTATTTTAGTTTAACTAGCCAGATATATGCAATAATAATTATTTACCACTTCAAAATGTTGCTTTGTAGTAAACAATAGCATCCAATAATAATTTTCATTCGAATCTCTTTTCAAATATACATTTGGTTACCTGTTTTAGTGTTCTGAATTGCAGTCACTGAATACTTTATGTTCCTAGTGCAAAAGTGTAGGCTGAATGCGTAGACCACTGCAGTGATGTAAGTTAACATTACGACATACATAAGCAAATAAATAGCATCCGTCATGTATTTTATCAAGTTAAATCACGGAGCTTGAAGTGACGAAATGCATAGTAAAACACATATGATATTCCCTCATGATAATCTAGTTATGACTTTGTTACAAGAAAGTAAGACTAGTTTAAAAAGTCAACGGTTTGATTGTTGTTTAGAATCATACATTTTAATGTGTTGCCTTGCTATAGTCAACAGCTGGTGACTTTAAGTCATACAATCGAAGCTGTCCACTACTAGTCATTCCAGGAATTCTGAAAATATTCATTGATCTTCATATAACTATCCTCCTTTATCGCATTTCTCCGTTAGTTTATTTTAAAATCACTCTTGAATCAAATCATCCGTATGCAAAACGTAGAATTACTTTGCTTTTCTATATGCAAAAATCGTAAAAAGGCTCATACAATATTTATACACTTGACTCCAATTCACAATATTTTAGAAGCCATAATATGCGACTACTTGAGACATATTAATCCAAATGTAGAATTTCTTCTTGGTTAACTAGGAATTAGTTAGTATTTAAGAGACAATTGTGATTTATGCGCAAATAAAGGACTTCTATCGATAGAAAGATTTTGTTTGTCTGTTTCACATCATTCAGAGGACGAATCATATTCTGGCTGATCAGCTTGGCTGCCATGTCTTCAAAAGCTAAAAGATGTATGCTCAGCCAATAGATGCCACTTATGATGTATGCACTATTAACAGATTCTTTAAACACTTTTTCTTTTCTACCTCATACCTACCAGACAAAAATATATTGTCAAAAAGTTCTGGCTTTATATTGAAGTAATTGGCTGATACACTTAAGAGAAAAAGTTCATAGAAAAAGGAGCCGGCTTATTAAACTGTAACTTAGTTTGGGATGTAAACTTTACTGATCAATTCTGGTGTGTAATAAAATCAATACTAGTCAACTGTTAGTCCTTTCAAAACGTTCAGTTTATGTTCTCTTCGTTTTATTATTATTTGATTCAACTTTATGGGAACAAAACACAGAATATTCTAAAAGGGCTTTGAAGAGGTATATTCGAAAATATGGCCCGTGTGTTTTGTTTAAAATTAACATTTTAGGTGTTTGAAAAGATACCGTTAAGTTATCAAATGAATAAAATGACAAAATAAATCAAGATTAGATTGCACAAAACACAAATGAAGCGTAAAATTACTCACCAGGAATGTATTTGCGCCCTTAATTCACTCACAAAATCGGTGATAAAATTTTCATATTGCGACTCTAGCTCATTTTTTTCTTGGTGTGCAATATCATCTGCAGTGGATGTCCGGTAAAACCTTAGTTCATTTAAAGAAGATTGCAATTCCTCTTCAATTTTCGAGCGAAGAATATTTTCATACTTTAGTTCCTGTACAAATATTTTGAAAACCGTAGAGTTACCTCTTTGAGTGTATCTATCTGATCTTCAAGATTTTTAACGGCATCATGACTGTCGCAAGATGAAAGCTTACTCAAGTTGTTAAGGATGTCATGCGACCTAGATTGAATATCATTTACTTCTTCCTTTAGTTGTCCTATTTCTCTCTGAGAAAATAAGAATTAATCACCATCTACTAACCTCATTTTTTAGTAAATGACTTTCAATTCTCAACAAGTGGCTTGACGTTTCAGAGTTTCTCATTTCAGGAATCTTTTTTTATCTTTACTGATGATAACCTATCCTGCCGACAGGCAACCGGAAATCGTAAGGGCCCTTCGTTTGGCTAATGGTAGTGGTCCATTTAATCGACACCACAGTCTGAAAGGGAGAAAGATAAGGTAAGATTGTAGTGTATCTTTCACAGTAACAAAATAAACCTAGTATTAAAATAAATAGATCAAACTGAATTAACTTAATGTTTTCTAGTTTGTGTGTCGATGCTTTAAGTTTTAAAGTGTATTCATTCGACTAAGCTCGGATGCCGTTTTGCGATTCTCCTTTGTGTTGGTAATAGACGCATCTTTACAGTTCATGGTTCAGCCATATCATTCAAACAACTCCAAGAATTTTTCCTTCAAATAAACTTAACTTTTTTCTTTAAATACAGTTCTCGTCAGAACATTCTTCTAATTAACTGAGGGTCTTTGATTTGTGTTTTGTTATCAGTATTTGCACTTCACGTAGTGTACTGATTAAGTAGGTAATTAGGCTCATTACGTCTAGTAAGGCTGGTATAGTATAACATATCAGTAGCATAACCACCATCTTACAAAAGCATGAAAATATGGAATGACGACATAAATGCAGTCGTTTCTGTAACCTCATCACAGTTTTCAGATTTAAATCCGGAACCTGATGTGGAAGCTGGATAGAGTTAGTTCAGGAAATTTACTCCCGGCGAACCTAAAGCTTCATTTCATGGTCTTCCTCTAAAGGGCGGAGAACATTTCTACCTGCCTAGTGGATAAACCAGGAGACTCGCGATCTAATTCTGCATGAACTCAGTTGCTGGAATGTGCTTATCACACTTAAGACTTTAGAGGCCAGTAAGCCTTACTGGGTAACCAGAAAAATAAATTCCTAAAATTGGTGAATCACAGATAAAAGTGGAAGTGCATCCAACACAAGACGCAACTGTACAACCCAAGAAAATATTTCTGCACATGAATATCAGAAATAAGACATCCAATGAAGTGCCAAAACATCAACACCATCGAAAGGAAAAGAGCAGAAACAATGGCAGACAACTCCTCCAGGCTTCACACATCATTCATCACTACTGGTAGCATCTTCTCCGATTGCACCACACGGAGACGAGGTAGATTCATTTACGCTGACTAAAACATCGTATTTCAGTCGACACACAAACTAGAAAAAGGGACCCGATTACTCTACCTCAGGAATTCTCGGGGAGTTGGAGACTTGCCTATCTGGCTCACTAACTACGGTCCTCAGGCTATCTCTCTCACATGAAATATTACTGCGTGGCTGCAAAGATTCCATGGTAACCCTCATCTACAAGGAAGGATCTGGATACTACCTTTAAAGTACATTTATATTAGTCTTACCAGCATGCTAATCGAGATACTGGGAAGACTAATCAAGAAATTTATCACAGTAAACCATACACTTGCTATAGAGTACGCAGTAGCGTTTCCGAGGGAACCTGTCGTGTTGGACAAAACTTTCAACAACAGTATAAAACTCTGTCAAGTACATGGACAGCAAAAAAAAGCCATCGAATTCGTTTCCACTAATTTAAGTAAGTCTTCTAATAAAGTGCTTCACACAAGATTGTCCACGAAATGAGTAACTTTTTCAATCAAGTGTAGGAGAGACAGGACTAGACCAGCTGAGGACTTCCTTCCTGGACAACGTTACTTAGTGAATCATCAAAATGCGCCATTCTAGACCCCATTTTACTTCTTTTCTATATCGAAGAGTTACCTTAGATCTCCTATAATTCTCGACGCAGATGAATAAAATATTTAGAGAAATTCTAAGTATGATAGTAATACGCTTATGTCACAAAGACTGAACAAAAGAATAGATTCCTCCGGTAATCTTAACAAAGTGCGCAACCATGAGCAATGGGTACTCAAGTGTCGGCTAGTATGACATGGAGAAAACACCATTCTCAATACTTCAGTCGCAAACGTGTTTAAGTTTCATATTGATTTAAATCACGGTCTAAAAACGACACTAAACTGTCATGTGGTGGCAGCTCACAGCTTTAGGTCGCTATGAATAAATACGCACAACGCTTACTAGAATTGTTAGTGAAGTGATTACTACTTTATTTACATCTCTGTTGAGGTTTAAACGGGAAAACTCCATTCTGGTAGCCAGTTCTTGTTTTAGGGATGGCTCAAATATTCTGGAAGAGGTTTGGAAAAAAGCTAAGCAAATGGTTTCGCAGATGATTTATTTATCATACGAAAATAGGTGACAGTCTTAATTTCTTCATTTAATTATATCGTAGACACAGAGGATATCGATATTTTTTATTTTCGTTTACAGCTTGATTCCACACAGTACTTTTGGTAGAAGTATGGAATTTTCAGCATGAATATCGTTAGCCCAAATTTTACAGGCCGACCATAGATATCGGGTGTGCGTCGGCAGGTAATCGAACCCCGGACCATGTGCATGGTCGGCGGGAGTCCTAACCACTGTGCTACCGACGCACAGAAATGATAATGAACCTAAGCCACCTTTCGTTTGCCTCTGCACTAGGTCATAGCATCACACGCTATTTAGCAAAAGAGTTCAGAAGCATGGGATTAACTAAATGGGTGTAGTGTACTAGTTTTACAACCAAGAGATAAAATTTTGAAACATGTCTGCAGATTCCTGTAATAAATGGTGTATGCACCATCAGAAGGGTATATGACAAGCACATATGCGCAATAGGGAGGGTCAAGGCGGGTTGGAATTCCTCTGTTCTAAGACAAAAACCTGAATCCCAAAATCTAATTTATTACTAAGCAGGCACATATAGTATTATCCAGGTCAATAATAAGAGGGAATAAAACATTTGGAGAACTACCACTGTGAAAGCAAGACAAGATGACAGTTGGAAACAAAATATGAACGAATAAGTCTCCAAACTATTTACGGTTTACATAGTCAAAATTGCACCAACGGGTGGTAACATAGGAGCGGACATTTAAACAAAACTGGTTTCAAGACCATAATCAGATTCAGATTTCTTGGTTGGAGATAGAAGGCTTGAAGCCTATGTTGATACTTTTCTAGTAAATGTCTTTGCTTGTCCAAACTCTTCTTGAATGAAACAGTTGAGGTTTCAGACACCACTTATTCTGGGAGTCGGTTACAAGAGTTTATTACTTAATGTGAAAACCAGTACTCGACAGCAATAGAGTTTTTCCTTGGCTTTTGAACTCTCCTGCTACCTCATCTAAGGTGTTCCGACCTGGTGGGAATGAAAAGAGAGTGTGGTGATTGACTATTTCTATCTTTGTATTGTTTAAATACTTACTGTTGTTTGTTAATATATTTATTATTTTTGATTTGAAATATAATTCCGCCAAATACAAATTCCTAAGTTCATCCCTCTCAGTGTTTTGGTTGAGTTCCTGTAATTCGGTCATTGCGAAATACAATACTACTAGTACAAATAACAATCACATTTTGGCGTCGCAATGGAATTAAATAATCTTGGAAAGTTTCCTATAAATGGTTCACCGCGGGAAATCTCCGATTATCTTGAATGTTTCGACGCATGGTGCATGTCGAAGAATGTTCGCGATGACAAAATTCCAGCTCATTTTATTACTGCTATTGGGCTAGATGCGTACAGCCTACTGAAAACTCTGTCATTTCCAGATAAACCAATTTCTCTGTCTTATGATAAACTCCGTGACCTTTTAACAAATCACTTCCACATAACAACTTTCGAAACACGAGAGAGGGCTCAGTTCAACAAACTTGTCCGTGCTCCCAACCAGAAGATTAGAGACTTTATTCTTCAACTTCAGATACAAGCTTCAAAATGCAACTTTGGAGATCAGCTCCATACTCAACTAAGTGATCGTCTAATTGCTGGAATCAATATTCCTAAGTTAGAGAAAGAGTTGGTTCAGATACCTTCCTGCACCTTTCAAACTGCCAAGGATTTATGTATTACGTATGAAGATGTCAACAGTGACTACCCAGCTGCCACTACGTCAGAGTCTGATGTCATGCTGTCCAAAGTTGATAATAAAAGTGTTCATAGAAAGAAATCCAAACTGCCGTCCACATGTAATAGAATGCATACAGAAAGCAAGAACATCAAACCGTGTTTTTCATGCGGAAAACTTCATCTACGAAGCACTTGTCGTTTTCGGAGTGCTAAGTGCCATAAATGTGGTAAAATTGAGCACATCAAGTCTGTCTGCAGAAGTTCAAGTAATTATGCTACTCATGATTCTCCCAAACTGTCTGATAAAATGAAGTCAATGTCTCTTTCAACTTTTCACAATACTCAATCTCATCTAGTGAGAAACTTCACTACAAGTTCAGGCAAGTCTCACTGTTTTGTAATTGATACTGGAAGTACTGAATCTATAATTTCTAAGAAAGATTTACTATCGCTGTGTAAGCATTCTCAGGTAGACCCTACTACTAGCTCAATTACAGGCATAACTGGTCATAAACTACCTCTTATTGGTGCAACTAACATTTGTTTGAAGTCAGACAGTGGTAATTTTGTGAATATCCCCTTTCTTGTTAGTGAATATGGTCCATCTTTATTGGGATTGAAAGCCCTTAGATTGTTAAATGTTGAAATCTCACTTTGTACTGAGTTGTTTGATGAATCTTTGTTCAGAGAATTAGTTTTTCAATGTTCAAAGTGTGTAGGTGGCATGCAGATTCAGCCCATCCATCTTGAAATAAAGGGTGATCCTATCTTCCTAAAGCGCCGATTAATTCCATATGGTTTGCGAGATGCAGTTAAGAAAGAGTTGGACAAGTTGGTTGAGCAGGGCATACTTATGCCAGTTGAATCTTCGAATTGGGCTACTCCCATTGTCACACCACTAAAGGCTGACGGAAAAACACCCAGAATTTGTGGTGACTATCGTCTTACACTCAATAGTCGTCTTCTACAGCAAAGTTGCACTACGCTAGAAAGCGAAGATATTCTCTACAAGCTACATGGCTCAAAATACTTTTCCAAAATAGATCTAAAAGATGCTTATTTGCAAATTCCTCTTGACGAAGCTTCTAGTGCATTAACAACCATTAATACTCCATTTGGATTGTTCAAGTATAAGTTCTTGCCTTTTGGTTTAAAGGTTTCTCCTGCAATA